AGATGCGTGTAACGGGTTCGAACGTGAGCTCCGTCGAATCTGTCGGTATTTGTTGGTGCGCGTGACGTGTGCCGTCAGATTCACGGCGTCGCAAACCCGGTCCCCGGAAATATTAGCGGACGGGAAATGAGAACGGAACGAAGCGACCGATGAGAGGGCGACGAGCAGCTGCCGTCCGGTGGAATTCGAGGACATTCATAGATCCGTTCAGTCGTTTGAACGGAATCACCGTACCGGAGCTGTCGCGTTGGTGCGCGTGCGTGCTGTGAGAACACCGGACACGCCTCCGAAGAATCCCGTCGGCCCCGGCGTGGGCGAGCCCACGTTCTTTTCTGGATTTTCGCTAGTCCCATGAATTTTCAGTAAGTTTCTCCGACATCGATTTCTCGACCCCTACAGATATTCTTTAAATTTTTAAGAAAACAAAATCCTCGTCTGTACGAACGGTTCGCAACCTTTATACATTTAGACTTACAGCCCGCGAACTAATGACGTTTAAGTTCTTTCCCCACGAAATAATTACCTTTCAAGTTTCTCAAAAACTTGTTACAGCAAATAGCGATGAAAATTTGAAATATTTATTCCACTATACAATACGCATATAATATTTTGTAGAGTTACGAAATGCAGTTTATAAACATAATGGAAACATGCTTCCCGTTTGATTACAATTTTGTTATCGTTTCTTACACATACGTAACATCTATCCCGTTATCGAGATTCCTCAATTACTGTTTTTCTTCTGCACGTGCTTCCAGCGGCGTTCACAACATGTCCGAGCAATATTGTATTTCAATTTTCGAAATCAGAAGCACGTCTTCCTGCACTTTGTCTGTACAATCAATTTCCAAATATTTGGGTAAATATATCTCTGTGTCGAATGTCTAAATAATTGAGAAGTGGACGATGACCAAATCTCTTGGTAGAATTATTTGATATCACGATGATTAATAATTTGAAACTCTGTTTACGGTGAAAAGCGTACAAGATCTCGAGTTTTCGAGACGCGGTATTATTTAAACCGTAGCGCTAGATAACTTTATTGAACGGAAACGTGCGCGCAGCGAGGAAGCACGTCCGGTCTTATCGCGCGCGTTTCCGTCGCGAATTAAAACGTATCTGTACCGGAACGTCGTTTAAAAATTACTTTTTTTTTTTCGACGGAGATGACAGTTAAATGGACCTTATTCGGAACATCCTGTCAAAAATGGCGGCGGCCTTTAAATTGAAATTCTATTCGAGCATCCAAGCTCGATGGACAAACTTGCAAAGACAAGCAGAATCTCCGGAATTTTCCCAAGGCGCGCGACGAGTTTTCGAAAGATCTTTTATCGCGCAAATTTTCGTACACGAACAGCGAACATTTTAATCATTGTTATTCCGCGCGCAACGAGACAACGAGGATCGCGAAACGTGACTCCACGCTAAACACTCGACTGTATCGCTGTCATCGTGTCGCGATTACGCGATTGGCAATGTTCCTCGAAACCCTTCCTCGATCCATATTACCTACGAACTGATTCATAATTCGATTCGCGATTCTTACTAGGAAGGCACGCTTGTTCAGTGACCAGGCTACGCGTTCGCGCGATTATCTCTCGTCTAGCGTGACAAAACGAATTCTTCGCGCGAGGAACTTCCTTTCACCTCCGTTTCGGTTTTTAATAAAAATTTGCCTCGTCCGGTTGGCTCTTGCCAGGGCAAACTTTTATTTTACTACAATTGTCATTTTTATTTAACGAAGCATCGAACGAACGTTAAGCAATCAACGGACCTTGTCCAGGAGGAAGTGACCTTCCCCGAATGGTTACGATTTCGTTTTCCCGAGCGATCGTCGGTGACTTTAATTGGCGCGTAAAACGCTCCAACAATGAACGGGGCTCGTACGATTGTGGAAACTGTGGGTTTCTCAAAACCCATTAGCGGGCGGATCTCTATCGGTCGTAACAACGGCGTAGCAACGAAATATCTTGTCTTTGGCGCAGATAGATCGGGAGCAAAAGAGACGAGGCTACACTCGGTGGTCGTACACCGGCTGCACAAGCTCACAAAACGTTCTCTCTTATCTGCTCTCTCGGCCGTATAGAGCGACTAAAAGCTCTGACCTATGGCAGTCGGTCGGCGATAGCCCGCGCACATTCCTCTCCGAGTGCACTCTCTGAATGGGCCGCCTGTTTCTTCGCGAACACGCCCGTGCAGTTGACAAGCGTGTGTGTCCGTCGGTGCGGTTTACACGCGTATCTGCGTGGGTTCACACGTGTTCGGGGCGCGTGAGTCGCGCGTACAGAGACCACACAATCCCTCCCCCCCACCCTCGACGGGCAAAATTCTTATCCGGATAAACATTTTCAATAGCTTAATTGTTGGAGGAGGTGTCCCGGAACCCGAACATGTCAGGGATCGCTCGTACGAAAGTCCAAAACTTAGATCATAGATGAACAAATCTGGGGTACTGGAAGTAAACATTGTAATGAGATCATGTTACTAGGAACCGAGGTTGACTAAGCATTAAAGGAGTTACGGTTTAAGAGGCGTAAGCGTGCAGTCATCGAGTGTGTGATTTCTCTGCAATTCCTATTTTTGTACTGTAATTAACAGCATGCACTGTATTAAATAAAATTAGTACAAACGATATCGTGGTACGAATGGTGACAGCAGGTAAAACGATCGATCCAGCGAAATAATTCCCATTCCTGGCGCTAGATAGCGCCATCACTTTCTGTCCGCCGACACCATAGATACCTACTTTTCGAAATCTGTATGTTTGTGATTTCTCTGTAACCGCTACAGTTTTTGTTCGATACAAGCGGGGATGTTTTAGACTCGAGGGGGTTGGGGGTGCTCGTTTGTCTCTTTGTTTTCGTCGTTTTGGGCCCGCGTTTGGACGACGACAAAAGCCCCGGGCGTCGCGAGTCACCGGAGTTTCGTTCTCGAAAGGGGGAAGATTGAATAGCGGAGCACAGGAAGTTAATGTATTCGGTGTTTCGTAAGCGTCGGGGCGCCGGCATCGTCGCACGATCCTGGTACCTACACAGCGGATGCGTGTAGGACGCTCGCGAATCGGTCTTGTGCGAACAAACGTCGTTTCTTCCAGTTCTGTAAGCACCTCGGGAAAAGAGGAGTGGGTCGGGACGGTGTTGAACGGATTACGAGGCGGATTTAATGTCATCGTGGGTCCGTACATTCGTCGCTGGCCAATTATTCCTGCCATCCACGACGAATACGCGTTTTAACGCTCTCGTTCGCGCATCGCCGCCCGGAAAGACTTTGGCCAGTCGCTGCATTTCTCGTTAAGTCTTGGAAGACTTGTGCAACTGTCGGAAAATTTGTAGGAATATTCATGCATTGTTATTAGAAATGGTTATTACGTAACGATCCCGTTCTTCTTTGGGATACGTTATTGCCTGGAAGCTTTACGCGCAACTGGCGTAGCTGTTCGTTATTAGAAGAGCCTTTTTGTCATTTGTAAGTTCTAACATAGGCAACAAAATGTTCCAATCACCGCGGGAAAGTGTCTGGAATTACTCCAACCGCTCGCAGACCAAGCAAAGGCGGTGCCAGAAGGTGCTCCAATTTTCAGTTCTAGTTTGAAGCGTTGGCCTCTAAAAACAATCATGGGAGGCACGTAGACTCTAGATGCACTCGTGCAGCAAATATATATGTTGTTTTTGCAACGTCGAAACTCCGAACTAGGTGTTTGTTTGTTAACGTAATAGACGTTTCTAGGTTCTGGACAGCGGCGAGAGCAATCTTATCCAGCTGAAAAATGTCTTTGGCTCCGAATTTATTTTCGTCAAATATCCGTGTCGATGCATTCGTTATCCCCGCACGGGAATTACGTTACAGAAAAGAACGGTACTAATTTTAGGTGGTAAGGTCTAGAAATCCAAGTATCGTTTTGCTCGTGGTAACCGAATTTTCCAATCTCCTCTTCAAGGTTTGTTTTGACACGCCATACGTTCGACAAACAGCATTACTCCCCATATTAGCATTCCTGTTTGCCACAATGGCCTGGTCCATGTCTTCCTCCCGATAACCGATTCTATTTCTCGCCTTTGTTTGGCCATCTAAGAATGGAATCTCGTAGGGAACTATACGGATACTTAAAACGATGCACCCTTTTATAAAGTTGTGATCTAAATGACAGGCGTACAATTGAGCTTTGTTCCAGCCGTGACAAAGATAAGTAGCCAATTTTAAAAAGAGGTCTAATTTGTCTAAGGAAGTGGCTCGACGCGGATCTCAGCCATTCGTCACGGTTGACGGTTTACTAGTTTGAAAAGAATAGAATGTACGTTCGGTGGGTACAGCCCTGACGCGGCACGGATGCGTGGAGGACACGATTGGTCTCGGCCGAACAAAACGCTCGGTTCTTCCAGAACTGTGGGCGCCTCGAGTGGGCCGGTGACCACTGAATCAAGAAACCTGGTGCACGGGCCGCGAGCGGCGCCCACTCGCGCAGTCCTCGCCCACGTTCGGAGACCAAACCTACCTCGAAGCCACGTAGGTAGTGAACCGCGTACACGGCATCCTTCGCAGCTGTCGAGGTGTGATCCGAATATATCGCTTTCGACTATTGCCCATTCAGATCGCCGCTCCCTTCTCTCCTCCCCGGACGATTTATCGCCGCTACTTGTTCGCGTCTTCTAATTTCTCATTTCCTGACGATCTCTCTCGAACATCCTGATCCTCTTGATTTGTGATTCCCTGAGCAGCCGGCGCGTAGTCTCTCGACCATCGCGTGCCTTCGAACATCGGATTCTGAGAGGATAATTGGACCTGGTAACTTAAGAAAGACTAGATCGCACGAATCCTGACGTAAGATCGTCCGATAAGTAATATTGGAAGTGGAGTCTTTATTTTTTTGTAAACGGAAGTTAGCTTACGAATCAATTGCCCAATTTAGAGAGCTAACACGTTCATTGTCCATTTTTGGATACGCCGCTAAGTATCGTTGATCTCGGAAGGAAAAATTGCTAAAAGTTTGCGTATCGTTTCAGGTGGGGATGAAGCGCGTGTCGCGAGGGCGAGAGGAAGCGGACGCGGAGCATTACCGAGCATCATCCTCGCTAATGGAACGCCCTTGTCGAGAGTGCCACCACCTCGCGCGGGCTGGGCAGTGCGTATCAACGAGGCGACACTTACAACCCCAACTCAGTCAATTAATCGTCATCAGCAACAGCAGCAGCATCATACATCGTGTCCAGGTACACCGAGAGCCGTCGAACAATGGGCTAGCGAGCGGGCATCGTCGTCGTCGGCTTTGTCGGTTTGTGGTACCGCGTCACCATCCTCGCCAGAAGCAGCAACAGCAAGGAGAACGGGAACAGGATCAAGCAGGGTCCTCTCATCGTCGAGTCGAGTCGGTGGAGGAAGAGGAGCAGTGGGAGCAGTGGGAGCAGAGGTCACCGGTGTCCGTTTCGCGGATCATTGGCAGGAGGAGGAAGAGCTGGAGGCGAAGGAGAAGGAGGAGCACCGGAAGCGTCGCGTGGACGCAGCGGCGCGTTACCAAGCCGAGCATCTTGGACTGAGATCCGGTCGGCCGATGTCGCAGAACAATGCGATACCGCCGCTCTCGCGGCCACCCTCCTCGCAGACCAGTGGAATAAACGGAACGGAAAACGGGCTCGACGGTGCCGCGACCGACGCCGACGACGGGGACGCGCAATCGGCAATTCACCAGGCCGTTCAGCCTAGCAGAGTGCACGATCACAATCGGCCGTTTCCGCCACCGCGGTTGCCAACCGTGCACGTAGCATCGCCGACGCCGGTGAACGCCGCGACCACGCTGGCGACCAGCGTCGTCACTACCGCCACCTCGACCACCCCGTCGAACCCTAGGATCCCGGTGACCACCGCGCCGCTCAGCCCGTTGTCCAGCACCTTCCGAAGCAGACCGCGAAACGTCGACACGTCCGGCGATGCGTCGCCCAGGGGGGTTGTACCGAGCGACACGCCGCCCAGGAGTCCCATCGGCGAGGTCAGCCTCACTGTCCCGCGACCGGACGGCGAGAGGACCATCAACGAGTACGTCGAGGGTCCGTTCAAGCATTGCTGCCTGAACCAGGACCGTCGACTCGATCACGAGAAGCGTTCCGCCACCACCGACTGTCCGAAGCTCGACAGGCGACAGCAGCGTCGGAAGGGTCTGTCGGACGCCTCGGTGGCCGCCACTCATCATCGATTGCACGCGGCCAGGGCCCATCAGGCGTTTCGAAGCGGATTGAACCCGACGGGGACGCACGCGGCCGCGTCCACAGCCGCGAACGTCGCGGCGACGAACGCCGTCACCAAGCAACCGGTATCCTTCACCAAGGAGCCAGCCAACAACCTCGCCTCCAGAACCTACGATCCGGCCGGTTTGTCGATAATGTGCAATTTCTGCGGCAGATGCCGATGCGAGTCCTGCCGCGAGCCGCCGCCGTTGCCCAGCAAGTGGCTGTGCGACAACAAGTGCTTCTGTTCCGCGGACACTATCCTGGACTATGCGTCCTGCCTCTGTTGCGTGAAGGGACTGTTCTATCACTGCGCGGACGGCAGCGGCGGTGGCGGGATCGACGGCGAGGCGGCCGGAAGCTGCGCGGACGAGCCGTGCTCCTGCACGGGGAACAAGATGACCTCCAGGTGGGCATGTCTGGCCGCCCTCACCCTGGTGATGCCGTGCTTGCTCTGTTACTGGCCGTTCAAGGGCTGCGTGGCCATTTGCGAGGCATGCTACGCGCGACACGCCGCCCAGGGCTGCAGGTGCAACCCGGGCACTCTTGGGAGCCAGGCCTCGGGCAGGCATCATCCGATCACCAACGACATCGGGGACTCGAGGGACCCGGAGAAGAGGTTACTCGACCCGGTTACACCCGAGCTCTAAAGCGTCGCGTACGGGAATTCCTCGCTTGACGGTAGCCGATCCGGTGACCACCTGTCGGACGGTCGTTCGAACAAATGTTAACACAGCGTTGGGGATGACTTAATTTCTTGGATCCCGTACTGAAATTCTGTCTTTAAGCAAGGAATTACGCGTTCGAGGTTTACCGCGTTGACTGCCACAGCGTATTCGCCCGAAAATCCTTCCCACGCTACGGAAAACGAAAGAACGTCTGTTTTTATTTTCTCTGCCTTCGCGGTGCCTTATTCTCGAAAGAATCCAACGCAACTACAATCTATCAGAAATAATTAACACGGTAAAATACGGGTGTCAACATATCCGGGCAACCTGTGGCAATCGACGGGCAAATCAGCCGCGAACCGGAAATGGACAAGATTTTATTAGAATATCGAACGACGGATACGGTTATTCGATGGAAATAAATTTCGTTCCGTGATTGATAAAATTTGACTTTCTCTGATCGATCGATCGGAAGTCGTTGGTCCTTTTGATCGTCGTTCGAAATATGTTATTCGAATGAAAGATTTTGTCCATTTTTTTGCCGCGAACCTCCTCTGCTCGTACGAGCCATCTGACGGACGATCGGAACGGTGGAGTGTCGTGTGGCGCTGGTGTCGAGGGACGAACGATCGTCGACGGGGGCCGATATCCGCCGATTCGAGACGAGTTGTGTACGCGATCGCGCGGAGGGACACATTTGGGAACAAAGTGAATCGCATCAAGTACAAGCAGTTGCATTTAAGTCGAGAAACGATGATACGTGCGTTGGAAGTTTCGACGAGTTTGTACGTCTGACGTCGCGAGTGTTTTATTATTTATTATTTCTCTTCCATGCGCACGCGCTCGCGCGCGAGCCAGAGAATGAAAGAAAGCACGCGAGAGAGAGAAAGAGAGAATGTCGAACGAGTGGGAAAATGGCGGAATGGAGAAACGAAAGCGTGGTGGAGAGATTGGCGAGAAAAAGGACAAGGGAGGATGACGGGGTTAGCGAAGGAGAAGAGCGCGGAACGTTGGAACAAGATGGCGGAGAAAGGGCGAGAAAGACGATGATAAGGTACGCGAGCGTGCGTATTACGCAGAGACCACTTATAGTATAGATAGGTCTGTACACGATAAAATATATAAATAGTGCGCGCACACACGGAGAACGAGTGGACGAACGTGCGAGAGAGAAAGAGGGTAAATAGAAGAAACGCTAAAGTATATTAAACGCATGCACGTGTGTATGTATGTACGTGTGTACGTATGTACAGACACACGTGCAGTTTGTATAAATGCGTGTATGTGGAAGTACAGAATATTCGCGTTATTATTGCCCGTCGTTTTTCTCGCGAATTAATCGCGTCCGAAAGGGGTGAAAGTTTTACTAATTTCTTTTTTGCCCACTGGAATTTAATGGTAATTTAGTTTCATAATATCTCTATTATACTAGTAACGTAAACATAACCTAACCTCGCCGATTATAGTACATTTCGAATCATAAAGTGCATGTCCAGTGCAACAATGTTCAAGGTTATGCGAGATTGGAAGAGATACTCGTATTTTGTTTATTTGAGTATTTTATACAAGCACGTACAGTGGACCAATAAAATTTGTTCGTTTTCGAGGAAACTGTTCCAAGTAATTTTTTCCCGATTAATCGCGTGGCCTTGAACGCTATTGTATTGGGTATCTCTTGTCTTGTCCGCATAATACAATATGCAGTGGTGTTTCTCAACCTGAGGTCCATGGACCCCTGAACATAAATGCTTCCCATAGTATCATAATCTTTCAAAAATACAGGTTAAAATGTTTCTTGTTGTTAATAACCAACAACATTACAAATGAACCGCTGAAATTGTTTGCATTGTTTTGTACTTATAACATATTTATTCTGCTTTCGCTAAAAATACTAAACGAAAGCCAAGAATGTAATAATTAATCTACTATTATACAGTATTAATTGAAATCACAGGATGCGAATCCGTTAATTTCTTACCATATTTATTTTGATACATCGCTTAGAAAACTTATAAACAGTTTAATCCTGTATAATCCAAACTATACTTAGCTTCTTAAAAACATTATGTAATAGTAGAATGGGATATAAATTGTAACAAACGCAAGGTTCCATCCTAGTCTGAGTAATTGTAAAGAGATTATTCGTGGACCATACTATCGCTTTAAAATTATAATTTGTACATATTGATAATCATAATAGATAGTGGATATGGATCTTTATAATATATAAAGTATATAGAGGGTTGAATTGAAAAATATGAACTTATAATGCAGATAGAAAATAATAATATTATTTTATTCTAGGGAGTGTCTTGGACCAAATGTTCTCTGAGAAACACCGATAGAAACAAAACAGTACATTAAGAAAAGAAGTTACAGCCGCATTTGTGATTCGAAATTTATTCCACGTTTTTGTAAATTGTTTAAAGGTTTCCCCCTACGAAGAATAGTAAAACTTTTTCCTCTTTCATTTTTTTCTTGGTACCGTTCGACGACAGTTGAATTTTCCCAACTTTCTTCCCGTGTAAAATTGAGATGGGAAAGTAATAGTATTTTCGGAGACACGAATAATTAAATATTATCGTTAATTGTATCGTTTAATCCACTGTTGCGTAACACCCAGTTGACCGAGGCAAGTTTTACTGGATTCCCCGCAGATTATTCGCTTATTTACCCCGGAGTATTAAACAATTGGACGTACAAACAACGAAGAAATTACGTTATCGATACGACAAAATAAAACTCACGCGACGGAGGGTTAATTTAGCCCCTCCAGGCAGCCCCTAGTAATTTATTACCCCCCCAAGATATCCCTCGGGGAGGTTTCTAGCGACCGAGCCCCGAAGGCATCTCGGTTTCTAGAAAAGTATCGCCGGATCAGTGATAACGCGAACACCCTGTATACGCATAGATATAGATATGTATATTGTATATTACATTTGTATAAAGAGCAAACTTTTCTACGGTTAATTTATTCGTGGCTGCGTCGCCGAGTAAAATAGAATATTCTACGTGTAGAGGGGGCGAGAATGTTTGATCAGCGGGCGGTGAAAGAATTTTCAGGGGGCCGTTCCAGGTTGCCTTTACACATACACAGAGACACACACGCGCGCGCGCGTATAGGCGTACGGTAGAAAAACGCGCGCGAGAATGGAGAAACGGGGCGAGAAAAATTGAACGAGAGACAGAGAGAATGGAAAAAGGAAGTTGGGGAGCGAAACGGAGGGGGAGGAGATAGAAAAAGAGGAGGATGCTCTCTGAAAAGAAGCATTGTCCGCGTTTCCGAGCGTTTTCCTCCAGGTTCTCTCGATGTACACGGTACATACACCCCGCTTTTATACTCGTTAACAACTGGTGGGGCACGTATCGAGCGTGGCTTGTACGACACACGGAGATATCGAGATAACGCACGCGTGTTCGGTTGCGTGAGAGCGGCGAGCGTCTGTAATAAGAATGAACAGGGAATGGGGGGCGGGGGAGGGATTTGCGTGTGCGTGTGGGTGTTTGTGTGTGATATGGGTGTACGTGCACGGGGCACGCCGAGAAATACGGGCAGATGGAAAAAGGACAATTTCGCGGGGGCGTAGGGAAACAGATATCGGGGCATACGCGTGAAATCTGGTCGTGGAAGACGTACCGTGTGCTCGTGAATTGAATAAGGTGCAAAGACGGGGAGCTACACCAGCTACTCGGCCTAAAGCCACGTTCCCACGCGATACTTCGACCCTTTTGGTACCAAAAAATCGAGATACCGGCTCCAGAACGTTTGTCGTCAGCTTTAACTCGCGGATAAATGTTATATTTATTTTAACGAAAGTACATCACCCTTGGAAAGCAAATTGTAAGGTACTGAAAGGGTTAATGTTAATGCAGATTTGTCGATATCGAAGGTAATAGAATGTTTCGTGTATGTTCTTGTTTTCGATTACGATGGGGCCTTCTGAATAATTTCAGCGATTTTTAATACGTTGACTGCCACGCTGGTTTTCCATGAGACGTCCTCGACATTTGTTCAAATTGTAGTGTTGAAAAATAGAAATATTTGACAATTCAAATGGTGTACCTGTTATTTTGTAACATTCCTAACACAAGTATTCGGGCTCCCTGAGCGTTAACGATTCTCAAACGCGCGCGCAAGTTTGAAATGATAGTTACCAGTTAGCTATCATGGCAGTCAACGCGTTAATATTTTCCTGACGACGTCTTCTCTGCGGTCAATATTTTCCAAATTCGTTATTCCGTGCACTCGAGCTCGGAAAACTATCATAGATCCCTGGCAGAACGGCAGGCGACGTACCTCCAAACGAACGCAAACGGGGGCATATCCAGCTCCTCCGCGGCGAACGCGTTTATTAATTTCTTTTTTCCAGTATTATCTAGTCGTGTGTGCGAGTTTAATTAATAATTGTTCCGCGGCGAGCGCCGGGGTACGGTTGCCAATCCGCGACGAATGGCAAATAGAGGAAACGCGACGAGAATCTTCGCCTTAACGAACGCCGAGTTTAACGTACCGGGTAATCGTTTTCCTCGTTAGTCGGGAGTACCGGGCGAACTTTTTCTCTCTCTCTCTCTCTCTCTCTTGAGCAAGATTTTTGGAATAATTAACGCTTTCGAGGCCGCTGATTCGCCGCCAGAGGCCGAGGCGCGGCGTTTAATTGCACGGTAACAGCGCTTCCCACGCGGCCCAAGGTGTGTTAACCTTCCATTGCTCGCCTCGCGGGGCTCGATCGTTAAAGAACGCTCGCGCTGACAACGTTTCTCGAGGCACCGTCTCTTCGGTGCTTCGATTCGATTGTTCGGTCTCGAAAATCCGACGAAAACCACCCTCCGAACGGACAAACGATTACGCTTTGACTTTGACAAACGTAAAGCCACCTTCCCGCTTCCTCGACAGCGTTTACGCTCTGTTCGAAAGATTCCTTCAAGATTGTAGACCCTCTCTAGTTTCATAGAAGGACGGTTTTAATAATTTCAAGAATTAGTCTTATCATTTAATTATTCGTGATCGAGCATGGAGGCTGCAGTTTATTAACGAGATCGCTCCAAAGATTATTGGAACGATGTTTCTTCCGATCGCTCGCTCGCTTCGTTACCCGCGAAGAGGTAGCGAGATGCCCGAAGAAACGAAACGTTCGCGCGTTCGCTGCTACTCGTTCGTTCGCGATCGAGCTAGCGACGATAGCTCGTGGAAAGATCACCGCCCGCGGTGAACGCGTCGAGCGATCGCGATTGGCGAGCCCTCGACCCGCGTTCTGCACTCTCAGAATCAGAAACAAACTTAACAATTGCGAATAAGAACTGTAAATTATCTCAATTTTCACCCGAAGCGGGACTCATCAGAGATCCCAATTTTTTTAAATACTACGAGCGAGATCGTGACTTTACGTTTCGAAATCGATCCTCTTTCGCTTCCAAAACGAAGAACGATTTTAATTCAAGTCGCGGGACTCTCGAGGTATAAACGCGTGCGTTTGTCGATCGAATGTTCTTTTACGAATCGCGTAACACCGTGACGAGCAATTCGAAGCAACACTCGTTACTGTTAAGCTATTACACGTTCTCGCGGAAGCGGGTCTGGGACTTCCTGTCGTACCTTTCTGTATTCCAATATTCGAGCTCTTTTGGTCATTCGATCGTTCGTAAAATATAATTCGAACACGTCTATATACAACAGTATTTATACACGTTTATATTCATGCAGATCATTAATCATTTTCTATGAATCGATCTCGGATCGTTCGCGCGCGTGACTAGAATCCAGCCCAACGGGAAGATGTAGTATTTAAATACATCAGTATCCGCGTTATTTAAATAGCGCAAATGCATAAATAATTTCTTATTTGAATATTTAATCTTCCGTTGCGCAATACGCCTGATCGTGAACGCGATGAAAATAATTCTAACACGAGCGCGCCGATCTATTGCGCGCCAACGTGGCGCCATTGTCGTCGATACCATTTCTCGGTCGATCGTTCAATTTTTCGCGCTACACGTAAAATCACTAATCGCGAGGAACAAAGTATCCAGAAGGTAATCATCCGTCGTAAAAAAAAAATAGATATCAGAACGTTTTCGAAACCCACGGAACGTCGAGCTCCGAAACGAAACGATCACCAAAATGATCAATGAGAGAGGTCCCACCGTGCGTATACAACGATCCCATTGATGTTTCGAGCATACCTGTCTGTCCCTGCGTGCATGTCTCACACATGTTTGTATGCGTGGTCTGCGTGCGTGCGTATGTGTGTGCGCGTGTCTCACCAAGCGAAACAAAAACTTTTTATTAATATTAACTGTAATACGCTCTGTATATGTCTTGTAAATATATATATATAAATATTATGTATACATACACATACACACACGCGCGTACGTATATATATATTTATGCATTTCTGTTTAACGAACTGAGAAGTCAGTAGCTTTCGAGAAACAGCCCAAAATAATTCGATCCACCGATTAATTTCCAATATCGTCTAGAACGCTGCTTTCTTTCTTTTTTTCTTTTTATTTTTCTGCTTTCCCTCTTCCGACGTTCGCGTTGTCGCATCGTACTTAGGGCAGCGGGGCAGCCTTCGATCGTAGGTGTCCTTCCAAACGCAGGTGCTGTGCCTCTCTTCTTGCGAACAAAATCGAAACAGTCAAATTTCACGCGGAGTTGTTCCCGATCTCTCGGGGACTCTGCCCTCGAAACCGGTCGAACTCGAATGGGTTTTCGATTCCGTTGCAAGTATCCGTAACGCGGATAGATGCGAGAAGCGAGGTTGCAGAAAAGGAAACAATTATCACGAGAAAAACAGAGACTGCCGCGTAATTGGACCAATATCGTCGCGAAGGGGAAGATCCATAAACAGGAGGGGAAAGGGAGATCAAAGAGAAAGAATGAAAAACTAGCGTACGCGTGTGGGTTCCAATCACTCTGCTTGGACCAGCGGTTTCCAAACTTTTCAGCAAATATCAATTTTCTCTGATAAAAAACGAAAACTCCCACCATCCGGATAAATTATAAGCTTCGAAAAATCCTCAGCCCTCGTTGCACAGAGCGGTCAAACATCGACGTACCTACGTTTCTTTTTTATGTACATGTTACGTACATAAAACGCACGCGCGCGCGAGAGAGAAAAAGAAAGAGAGAGAGAGAGAGAGAAAGTGAGAGTGAACAAACGATGTATAAAACGAGAAAAACGTACCAATTCGGTGTATTAACTTCCCCACCCCCCCAAACAACAACCCTTCCCCTCAACCCCTGATGGACGATCGATACAAATTCGCCTCAAGCTGAACGCGTTTTTACGTTTGATGATAATAATATATATATATAAATATAGTCTGTATACGTATATTATTGTATTGCGACGACGAGAACTCGGAGAAAAAAGTAAACGAAAACAGAAATTCCACACTCTTCACTTCCGGTTGATGCGAATTCGTTACGTCCATAGGAATGCGTTGACGCACATGTTGTTATCTAATTGTTAGTAGATTCAGGTTTATACCGGCAATTGTTAATAAAGTTAGTAAGCAAATATACATACACTCTCGATTTTATTTATTTTTATCGTCGTTGCTTTATTCGACATTTTCAGAGATACGGGCAGCCTAAGTTCCGGTGGTTTAGTCTAAATTCGATGCATACATGGTTTAAGATAAATTCACCGGAGACCCGGAGTTTCAAACGTAAGTACAATGGCGGACCTGCGTATATTTTACGAGCACTTCTTTACATCGAATAAATACAAATAAATTAATTTCCATTGAAACTTCTTAAAAATGCCAATGAAATCGCTAGAAACCGTGAACACGACGTGGTCGAGGGATCTAGTAGAAAATCGGTGGGCGAGCGGAACGTTCTCCGAGAGGCTCTCGAGGTCCAGGAGTTAACGCGAAACGGTCGACGCACGAAGACGAAAATTCCACGTGCTGGCGAGAATAAAAAAAAAAGAAAAGAAGGGAAAATGAAAAAAGAGAGAGCACGCTCCGCCATCTGTTTCACTTGTTCGTGACCGATTCGTGACGGTTCGAGTTAATCAAGGCGGAGAAGACGAAGAAGAGGAAGACGTGGCTGAGGAGTGGTCGAAGGGTGGTTAGAGGGGGCGAGGGACGTCGGAGCCGAAAATAAGAAGAGAGAAAAGTGGCAGGCTGGCTGGTCCAGTGTTGTCACGTGACCGGAAGTGGCCTCTTCCCCACCGTTCGGCTCCACCTTCGATGCCGAGACCTGTACACAATCCCCTTCCCTCTTCCTCCGGCTTCATCCGGTTAGCGATGGCCATTCAATTCCCTCTGTTGCAAGTTTTCGAGCGATTTACCTATACAGGGTGCCCCGTCAGAAACTGGATACCTAATTATCTCCCTTGCATTACGGACAAATGTTCTGCGGTCGCCCAATTTTCTCGACTGGGAAGTATAGCTTGCACGTTGGACGAAATTTGTATAAGAAAAGGGGCAAGAATTTTGATAGCAGTATTAAAGAAACAAATGAACAATCGTGTTGTAAGGGGGATACTCGTTAGTTCTTGGTGAAGTTACGTTACAGAAAGGATGTTGTAAAAGAAGCTACATAAACAAACTACAAACTACGTTGGATCGACTGTACCTAAATGACTCGAAGAGTCTCGAGGCCATCGCTACCTCCGGTTACTTATCCCTTCCTCTCCGGTCGAACGAACGCATCAACGAGGGAAGATTGGCCTGGCTTGCTTTTGCTTTGCTTTTGCCTGCCTCGGCGACTCGTTCAACCACGTTCGAAGAAGTCAACGCTACCGGGAGACGTCCTTTAACCCTTTCCTGCTCGAAACTAGTTTTCTCCCCGATACAATGTACGTGTGCACGCACAACACGGTAATTTCACGGTACGAATTAACTATCGGGACGTTTGCGCGGCACGATACGTGGCACTTATCGTATCGGTCTCGACGAAGGATACGGGGCCGAGCGGATGCTGGCAAGCCAGACGAGGGTGGCAAACCGACGAAAAAGTTCTACGCGCCGGTAATCTACGGTGGCATGCGTTAAACTCGATACAACGGCCTGATAATAATGTAATCGTTAATGGAGGAACAGTCGTAAAAGCGTGCAGATAAGGCCTGGCGTGACACGGTGACATGCAGGCCACGGAAGAAGAGGAAAGACTGCATGTCACAGGACGCCCTGGACCAACTATAAACAGAGAGGCCACAAGGGGTCGATTGTTCGACAGAATCTGTGGACGAAACGGATCTCGACGTCGAGGCGGGCTTCTGGCTTGTTTTCGATGAAAAATCGACGGGTTTTTTCTTTACGAATCACATTTTCTGAAAGCTCCCCATTAAAGTTTTACGACGATGCTCGAAGATTTAAAGAAGTTACAGCCTCGCGAAGAGAACACCGTGGAACTTGAAGGTTTTATTGCATCTGCTTGGTCTTTGGAACGATCGTCGTTGGTTATGTTTTTTAAACTAATTACCCGTCTGAAAAACTTCCCTTCTAATGTTTCGTTTATTGTTGAAGGTTCAGGTATAGACGAGACCACTCCAGAAGGAACGTGAAGGGTTAAAACTCGAGAAGAAAGGAAGGAAAAAAGCGACATTCGACGCGCTCCCAGCCTAATAGAGGCAGTCATTGTACTTACGTAGACATTCACCAAGTGCATCGTCCCGGAAACGCAAAAATACCGGTCAATAATGCGGCCAGGGGAAAAATCGAGATTGATACGGAGATCTTCGCGGAATGCCCGCGGTATTCCAGGAATCGTGTGATATTTCTAGTGTCGTTCTACGAACGTCCTATTGATTGGTTGTTTGTTTGCTCTGTGGTAGGTGAAACGAGGACGGACGATGGAACTAGCCACGGGTATCGCGTGGAGGTCCGCGGAATCGTCGATAAACTTTTCAGAAAAGTCGACGGCGCTTGTACAGCGGGGGGGACAAGACTCGCGACGAGCATATATTTGTCCCCTTTTGACATTTCTTCGTATCGACATTTAGCTTGTAAAAGGCAAGTGAACCGCGCCTCGATCGATCTCCAAGAGGTTCTGGTTTTTACTCGACGCGAATTTCGAGGAATTTCGGAGCGAGCGAAACGATCGCCGGTATCCGAACGCTTTTACGGCTGGTCAGGTTTATCGGGCGGCGGATTGAAGCAGCGAAATATCCGACAAGAAGGGAAAGAAACGTGCCCCGCGGGGCGGATAGAGGTGGAGCGAGATTTTACGGGTATCCGCCGTATGAATTTATTATCGCGTCAGGACAGCGGAGGATGCAAGGTCGCGAGGAGAGAGATCCGCGAAGAGAGCCATCGGCTGTACGAATATGATTTACGAGCCGGCAGGGCAGATTAAGCCACGTTATACACAGATACGCTGCACAGAAATTTATTAGCATGAAAGAGAGATTAGAATGACCGAGGTCACGGAACGCCGTCCGCGCGATATTCGAGTCGAAGGGACGCCGCGGTTCGAGACGAGCGAATCGACCCACGGAGATCGTCTGCGTCATGTGGATTCGCGTGCCGTCGCGACGAAGGGGGAAAAAAGCTGGTAACCGTGTTGCACAACTTTCCTGGTATCGGTTTAGAAGCTATCGAATCTTATCGTTTTTAATAGTCGAAGCTTGGAACGACTTTAAGACCACGGGAGAAAAACAATCTCACCCCCTGTATCAATATAGCCCCAGAGCTTCGTCGAATTCTTTGTAAAGTCGTTGGACGATAGACGGGGAACGTCGCAGAAGGATCTATACAAGTCCATATTCAAAAACATTTATAGTATATAATGTAATGAGAGGACCTCGTCGCTCCACCCCCCAGGATCCGCAACTGGAAGTCGCAGGAAATAGCTAGTAATATTCAACCAACAGTCAAATAAGTATCATTGGTGTATACTGGTTTCAAGAAAGCATTTGGTACGGTTTTATAGATGTAGGTAGAACATGATCACAATTATTGCATACAGGGTGTTCGAGCAGTTCTTAGCCAGTGTTTAATATAATTTAAATATTTAATATCTAGGTTCAAATAGTCCCACTCCTGTTTCAGAGTAGATCCGCCCTTAACGGTGGAAAGAAATCGAGACGTCGATGAAACGCGACAGCTGTACGAACTTATGCGCGTTGTTCGGGCGCGCGGACCCGTCAACGAATTCGTAGAGGCTGGAAGTGGAGGCGCGCGAGAAAGAGGAACGACAATTTTCGATATAACTCGATAAACGCGATAGCGGCGCGCTCTTAGCGACGTTAGCGTGATGTTTTCGCGACAGGGCGTGCGAGTGTTCTATATTAAACTCGACGAACGCGGGTAGGCCGATTGCGAAACGGACGCCTGATATTTTCGTTACATCGCACGAGTAACTGCTTCCGGCCGAGCGTTCCCTCTCTCTCGCCCCACGCTTTCTTTATCTGCCGTCCTTCCACCGCGCATCCTGCTTTTCCACTCGCTCTGCCCGCCGGCGGACTCTATTTTTCTCGCTTTGCCCGCCTGGCTCCCTTATTCGCTCGCTCCTCCTCGCCTCGATATCCCGTTCCTTCTCTCTTCTGTCCTCTTCGTTCTTGCGTTCTGAGAGACCGAGGCAGATGCCCGTGCTTCAGCCGGCCGGAAACACCTACGCATCATGGTAGCGTGCGAGGTAGCGATGCCCAGCGATGGGAACGACCGTCTCGCGAACACCAGTTCTCATTTTCATTGAGTAACCCACGTAACCGTATAACGTACTTCTTGTAAAACTACATTTGTCAAGAAAAAGAATTTAAAAAAGAAAAAAAAAAGTTAGTCTACTTTCTGATTCAATATACGTTTAAAATTAAACTCGATTCGATCTAATGAAAATTGGATGGACGACGCTTGCCTACAAGAACGTTTGTTGTTGATATCGTTGTCAAAAGGACGAATGATAGTTATTACAAAATCCCAGTAAAAAGGCGGAACTCCTCGAACGCGTACAGATAGAGAATTATATTATTAATGATACCAGTTTCTCTTAGATCAATTGATAGTTATTCAACCAAAAGAATCTCGGTGCCTAGTCCAGCTCGAGCTCCTTCCTCTCCTGCCGTGTCACGAAGCTGGACGGTTTTTGCTCGAGTCTCTTTCACAGAGATACATGTACCGTGACACAATGTCGGACGATCAACGATTCATTCGCTTCGCTTCTCCTTTCCTTCTCTACTTTTTATTCCGATAGTTAAGCCAGAAATGGTTATCCGCCGCATCCCCTTGCCGCGTTTGGGGTTTAGGATGTCCTTCTCGATGGCTCGGCTAGAATAAATCACGTTTCTTTTTATTTTATACGCACAGCGGCAAACGCATAAATAAGAACAAGTATATTTCCCTCGATCCGGCTGAAATTGTTTTCAATTTGTTTCTTGCATAGCATTGTAGAGTGCGACGTTAAAATTTTTCCCAGGGGTGGTCGAACACCCTGTATAATCTTTGTGTCGACGAGGTAAATATGTTTGCGACGGCTGATAACGGATTACGTGCAGAGTTTAATTGACAAAAGTAACGTATTTATTAACCGACTGGCAAGAATAAGACGTTACTGATTATCGAAGTACGCTCGCGAAGAATGGAACGCGGGGGATTCGTGGAATGCGAGGTGCGTGTAACAGGCGTGACCTTCTCAAGGTCAAACGGTGTGTAAAGGAACAATGCACACGGGACCCGATCCGTGTTAGTCGATCGTGATACAGTACGGCTGCTAAGAGCAATTACGATCCTAATAAAAGTAAATACGACGTGTCCCCCTTCTTCGATCATTCAGCTATTGATCACCATTTTTGTACCCTTACAAATTTCAAACTTTCATTTCCTACGTGTCCATCTTATTCTTTCAACACTTCATAGGTACCCATACATCTTTCAAATATTTAATATTAAACATTTCTTTAATTTCTTGCATCCTATCGTTCATTGTAAGTTGGGTTAGGTTGTAAAACTCGTCCTTTCACTTTGCTTTTGTGAAAAGCAACGTTTCTTGCACTTACATTCTGTTTTTATTTCTCGAATATAACAGAGGAAGACATTAGACGAAAAGAAAGGACATTTGTTAACATTTAAATGGCCAGGTTTGAAGTATGAATGTAAGTTGCAATATTTAGGAACAAATAATATCGTTGTAACAGGTTTTCTCCCAAAGATATGTTTCGTTTACATAGAAACAATGCAATCGAGGAATGATTTTCTATGATTACGATTTTGAAATTGAACTAACGACGCACCCTAACGTCGAACCTTGAAATTCAGTACAGTTCAGGCAAAGGTTGAGTTCGGAGTGTTTCGAACTTTCCCCTATCAGTAACCGGCGATATTTTCCCGCTAATTTTGCTTATTGCGTACGTTTAATTTCTATCGACACACGCATTAAATAACGAGCTTTAAAGTGTAAAAGTTAGTTAGTTAGTTCGTAGGAGGTTAGAATTTTAACGATATGTGCACTGAGGAAAGTGTATGTACTCCGAAAATGTCACATGTAGTAGATTGGACAAATTTGCCGAAAGGAATAGAACCAGATTTCGTTTCACATAATGGAGATTATGATTTTCCATTATATCTTTCTGAAAAGGAAGAATGGGTCATTCATAAAAGGAAGACAGATTCTAAGGGTATATCAATGTTCTGTTTATTTTTACGAAGAATAAGCTTTGTCCTTGAATGGATCAGTACCTGATTTTAGTTTGTATTTCTAACAATATAAAACCCACGATAAATCGGTTTAGGTAAAATAACAATATATGAACCTTTCTTAATAATGGAATTGAACAGATTTGTACCATACTTGGAAAATAACTGTGTAAAGTTTCATCCCCTCAACATGCCGCACATTAAAATAGGTAAAATCGAAATAGTGGGATTTGTAATGTCTATTTACGAGGATGCCAAATTTTATCAGTACCGAAGTAAATATAATCAATGTAATTATCGAGCTCTATTATACAGGGTGTTTCAGAAAAATATTTAAGTATTTGTTCTTGTCCTAAAACAATTTTGTAGTCGATGATGGTACAGGATCCATTGTTGTTTATTTTGAGAAGAAGTCTTTTGAAACACAACGTCAGGACAGACGCATGATCGATGAAAAGTATTCTGATTATGCAAAGACCATGAACACTAAACTATTGAAACATCATGTATGTCCAAAACATTTTCCTAATCCACGCCCAGAGTTCAGGTATCCTGATGGTACAAGTATACGCGATATGGCTGTAAGTAAGAGATTTTTGCTTAATATGGGACAGATAAGAGGTAAAATGATAACGTGTGCAATCATTTATGTAGATTCTTGAACATAATTGGTCATTAGAGACTAACAATGGTTTATTGGGGATGCCAATAAATCGTTGCGATTATGTGCATGCGATAGGATATTGTGCACTTGATTTTATGTTCAATAAAAGGCCAGAAAAAGAAATTACGTTCGAAATATTATCTAATGTAAAGTTACATTTTCTCGCGAACAAGGTAATAGGCATGAAAGAGAAGGATTATAATGCTAAATTGTATTTATGGTTGAATACTGTTGTTCAAAGAAGATACGATGAACATTCAAATGAACCAGAAATCCTTACACAAAATGAAAAGGTATAAAAGTAAGTTTATGTGTGCTTCTTGTACATATACGTTTGATATGCGATGACGTTCTATTATTTAAAAAGCCTTTATTTAGATCTGAACAATAAAACAGTACTTGTATGCTCTATTCTTATATTTAATATATTATAAATTTCAAATATTTCGACTAAAAATTTTCAAGAGAACTTTAAAAAAAAAATTGAAGCTTTTACGATGTCACGGTGAATCGCGTACAAACTTTGTAATTATTCTATTGCTCCTGAAATTCTGACAGTGTTTAATTTTATCAGTAGACGTTTATTTATTAATTATCGTGGACTTTGATATTTTCGTTGCATGTGCTAGTTTTAAGTAACAGAATTGTCTGTTTTATTTGTACTGGTGCTAACGACTTCGTCGTCATTTACTTTTTCATTAGCCAATGCATTGTTTGTGACTGACTCTGTTTTGTTTGGAAGAATTATTAGTTTGTGATAGTAGCTTCCGGTTAACGGTAAATATGGTGCTATTTCGCTTGGTTCTATAAAGAGTGAAGGTGGAGCCTAAAACAGTAAAATAAATCGTTAAGGATAAACAATATTTGTAATCTTGTTTAGGTTAGAATCCTACTTACGCGTATTTCTTCAACCTTCGCTTCTCTTGTTGTATACTCTCTCAACAAATAGTCCTGCCCAAACTCATGATAAATCCGAGTATCGTTTATTCTTATCATTACATTATCGATTCTCAGGAAATATCTTAGCAAAATGAAAAAACCGCTGGGCATAACACGCTGTGAAATAAAAACATTAAATCAAAGTCAATCCAATTACATGCTCTTTTTCAATTAGTGCGTACGCATATAATACTTTTGCTAGCTTACAATCTTCACAGAGCAAACTGCAATACCATTGTCATGAAGTTCGTCTTCAAACAGCGTTAAATCATTATAAAATAAAATCTTTTCTCTCTTTTTCAATTTATCCATATCGATTCTCTCGTTAGTATCTTGAACTTTAAAATTAGCTGCTGTTCCAGTGTAGTTGGTTGTAAATGTCCAATCAAACGGTTTTATCTTTTCTTCCAAAAACTCACTGGTCTCTGACCTGTTTCAAAACAATATTTATTTGAAAATCTGTCAACAAACAAAATGGGAAACACAAATATTTCCACCTAGATTCTTTCCAAGCTTCTGCACATGCTAGTTGTACATTAACTTTCCCGTTTGAAACAGTTTTCAAGGCATCTAAAGCATTGAAGTGTATGTCAGCACCATTTTGATGCTTTAAAATTAATATATTGTTTGGAAATACCATGTCTGGCATATGTGGTAGGTCTAATGTTTGGCTGAAACTATTAAATTAATTGTATGATTGGAATATAGTGGTTTTAGATTTTAATACAATTTTAAGTCATACATGCAAAATTGGCATGGTTCAGCATCCTTCTCGCTACAGCCATTTTCACTTTTGGAGCATTTAGAATGTAGTATATGAGACTGTGTATATTTAATGTGCCATGGTGGATAAACACATTCATCTTGATTAACAGGCAAACGTAAGATGTCGATTCCACCATGAATTTTCACAGTTGTCATGACCTAAAAGTATAAAATACGATTGAAATAAGTTAAATAACAATATTATCTTCGATTAAACGTCGCAAACGTCGACGAAATTAAATTTACAGGTTTATATAGTAACTAAATAGTTGCTATTTTCTTCTGTCAAGATACACATTATATTACAGTGTTTTGTTGTGCTTTATTGCACATTGCGACAGTAATATTATTCTAGATCATTGTTATTCAATCTGTCTAAATATATTGAACAGTTATTGATAGTACACAATAACCTGTCATACTATTTACAAGAAACACTTACGAATAATATCAGCTGAACCTGGTCATTAAATTAATGTCTAGTGAACATCGTGAATTTCTTCCCAGTTATTTACTGGTTATGTCTATTTTCTTTTAAGCTTTCACCCTTTTCGATCCTTGAAAATTTCTTTCGAGTATAATGATTACAGTTCTTTCACGGTACTGCATTATCGGCAGTGCATCCAGTGTAATATCAAAGCGGCACTATAGGATCGTATGTGTGTCTACCGAGTAATATGGCGCCAAAAGTTTGTTCGAGATATTTGTGCAAGTTGTACCAGACTCTTCTCAAATTAATTTTCAATCGAGCACACTTACAAATATCGTCGAACTCGGTAAAAAAGATTAAAAACGCTAGAATATTTTCCACAATTTTAATGTTAAAAACATGTTCCATTTTAAAAATATCTATATAGATTGCAAGCCCTGGAAACCTTAATTCGACCCCGAAATCTATTCCGAAGCTTTCTGTATAAGTCGAGGGCTTGTTGCACTTCACAAAGTGTCCGATTTCGCGCAGGAGCGACGAAGCGATATTTATTTTGTCGGTTGGGGTCTGTCAGAACCGTTCAAGCACTCAAGGAGCAATACCGATCATGTTCCAAATGCGTCGTGGAAAATCGAATTCCGTTTCATACGGAAATAACCGTGGCGATTGTGGAAGATTCGAGCGAACATGATCAGTTCTGGTTGGGCGGCGCGGGTGGTACGTGGTCCATGAGAAGCACGCGTTTAAAATGACGACCAAGAAGGCAAGTTTTAACGTGGAACTTGCTGAGGAAAGCGATGTCGTTAACGAGGTCGTGGAAAAGAGGCGATTCTTCCGCGAGGAGAACGTCCAGAGGGTCAAAGCGGTCGCCGGGCACGTGGGGCTTTTAATTACCCTGATGTTGTACACAGCAATTGGCGGTTTGGTGAGTCGGACAAATTAAAAAATTGTCAAATATTTTATCAACGTTTTTCTAATATATAGGAAAAACAACGTATTTTACTATTTTTAACAAATTTTATTTGTAGAATTATCTAGATAAAAAATTTAATTCTGATATGTGTTTGTCCATCGTGCGTCGAGTCGTTGGATCAATAAGGTACTCGTGATCGATCAAGGAACAGTTTATGTCTTACCGAAAGTTGTAAAATATACAAATAAACATCGACTGTTGCGCTCGATCGGTGTTGCTCCACGCATTGACGAACGTATACGTTTCTAATTGTTTAGTTATGCGAGTTTACACGGAACGTAATATTTATAGAAATAACAACGCGTGTCTGGATTACCAGTAGGTGTCTTTATTTTTAGCAACGGACCAATCGCACGGCCGGTTGCAATTGCTTCTTCCCTCGAACGTTTATGAACATCGTTTTTATTTTCAAGTTCTCGATTCGAACGGTTCGTTTGACGAGGGAAACGGTAGATATCAAACGTCTTGACGCGATCGATGTTTAAAATTTCGCCTCTGAGGGAATAATGATCAATGACGCCAATCGAAATGTAAACCGGACATTCGTTCGGTAAATACGGTAAAACTTCTCGACGTTGTAACGCCCACTCGAGATTCAAGTGGTTCGCAAATCTTTTCGTCGGACAAAATGGTTTGCACGTTTCAGACTATTTTCCCCGTTCACGGGATTTGGACGTTTACGTTCGCAAAAGTTCGAAAACCCACCGACCGACTTTATTGTTACTGTTGCCCCCGCTGTCAGGTTTTTCGGCACATCGAGCTTCCGGCGGAACTGGCGCGGTTGGAAAATCTGCGCGCGAATTTACGCACCTCGAGGCGTTCGTTCGTCGACTCTGTGTCCAATAACACCGACGTGTCGAATTTGGAAACTCTGGTAAGTCAGCCATTAATAAATCGCCTTATTATTATTAGGGTTACAAAGAAGACGATTGCAGGTCAGCGTGAAATTACGTGCTTACGAGGAGGCTGTCCAAGAAGCAGCGCAAGGTGGCCTGTTGATCAGTTTCGTAGCGGATACGATCGATCAAGAAGATCGTGGCACAGTGGGCATGCCACCGATCGTCACTGAAAGGTGGAGCGTTCTTCAAGCAGTCTTTTTCGCGAGCACTGTGCTTACCACGATCGGTAATAAACCATACTCGATGATCTATTGTAAATCCATTTGTGTACATTTTATTTTAATAATCGCGTGTTCCAGGATACGGGAATGTTGTCCCGTCGACTAGCTGGGGCCGGATCTTTTGTATATTTTTCGCTTTCGTCGGTATTCCTCTCACGTTGACGGTGATAGCCGACTGGGGGAAGCTGTTCGCCGCAGCGGTGATGAAAGTCGGATTGGCCGTGAAATCGAAGCTTCCGTTTCGCTTTACCTTTTCCTGTCTTCCGACAAATTTAGCTGGAAGGCGATCGCTCGGTGAGTTCGAACCGGCGACTTCGAAGAATCTAAAACGAAGAAACACGAGCCGATTACTAATTTTACATCCGGGGTATGCGTGTCCAAACGTGCTTCGCACGGGGCGGAAGATATCGGGCCATTGAAGAACACTTTGTCGCGCCGTTGTTTCTCTTTGCATCGAAAACATCGTGCAGAGTTAGGCAAATTTTATTTTCATACAACGAACGGGTTTGAATTTCTCTTGTAGGGGCACTGGCCGCGATCATGCTTCTCTTTTTGTACCTTGCCTGCGGCGCGGGCATGTTTATGTTGTGGGAAGATGACTGGGACTTCTTCGATGGGTTTTATTTTTGTTTCGTGACCATGACTACCATAGGATTCGGCGATCTGGTCCCGAGTAAGTAGCGGTACATGCACTTTGCACTCTGAGAGCGATTAATAACAACGCGAGTCCCTCGTTTATAAGATCAACTTCTTTCTAGTTCGGATAAGTTGAGAAACTGACAATTGCATGACTATACTGAAATTTAGCTGTAAGAACAATTCCATTCGTTAGCTGTTATCGCGCGCACGTGTGTAGACGATATAGTGGTGTTTGTATCCGCGTAGCGCGTGTTTGTACGTTATTATAGCTACGCTTCGTGTCGTCGCACGTACGTAGAGAAGCCGAAGTACACGTTACTGTGCACCCTGTACATTCTTGTCGGCCTGGCGTTGACCAGCACCATCATCGAACTTGTTAGGCTGCAATACACGCAATCGTGGAGACGATTGCAAAGACTCAGTGGACCATTGGCCGAAGCCATGCGGAGGCTTGGCGAACACGCCGGCGGTGACATGTCCGCGTTCCATTCCGATCTCAGGTATTTATTTCGTAACGAATTATATATTAATACATTGACTGTTCTTGATTTGCAAGCACGACTCTGCGGGACAACTATAACATCGTTGCCCTTGTACTCGCATATTTCGGTTTTAAAATAAAATTGTTGGTTGCAGGAAAGTGTTGACGGTGATCTCGATGCCACGTTTGAAATGGTCGGCTTCGTTTAATCGGGCGGATTCGAAGGATCGTGATTGGGAGGAAGCGGTTGAGGTCGTATTACGCGATATCGCGGCAACGGCACAGAACGCACAGGCTAATGACAAACCGATAGTGCAAATTGTTATTTACGAATCCAGTGTCTAATCGATCAACATTTCTGATCGTTGTTAAATTTCATTAAAAAACATTCGGTTATTTTGCTTATTTCTTGTCTGTTTGCGCGACTTCCTACGTAATTTATTAACATTTCTCATCCGCAAGGCCGCGGGTTCCCTTAAAAAATCTAAATATTTATATGCGACAATATGTACGCGTCATTTGTGTTCGAACGTTGTGGTAACGGAAAGATTTTTCTACGTATTTTATCGTGCACCGATGGGTGAGTTTAAACTCGTTCGAATTTACCCACGCGAACTGCACGCAGACGCATAAAACCGCGAATGCGCGCAACCGACACAACCCTGAGTTCGATCAGCAGTCCCTATGTTGGACCGACCGAATCGACGAAAACAATAATTTTGTAGAGAAGCGGCCGCTATATTTAGAAATCGCTGCACAGCACGGAGCACGACAGGTGACGTTCTGTGCGTCCTTGGTCAGCCTTCGTTGTAGTTTACGGTGACATACGGGGCTACGGGTGGTCTAGATCATGAAAAATTCGTCTCTACTCCAAAACAACACCGAGAGACCCTCGGCTCTAGTGTGCATCGCGTATAGTGTGCGTATAATTAAACGAAAAATACGACGATAAGAAAACCGAGGCTGTCTCGTTAGTGGTGGTCGCACTTGACAGTTTTTCGTGTTAGAGAAATTCTCGTTGTATACGTGCATGTGTATGATCAAAATGACGTACGCGTCGTTCGACCAACGAAACGGGAAAAAATATATTACTGCCGTTCGGAGAGATCGTTTTGTTTCACTTTTTGTTTTAACATAGTTGTCTGTAACAAGCATTTCTGGACTGTTCGAAAATTTACGTATCTCGTATGTATTTTATGACGCGACGATCAAATCTATATATGAAAATAATTGTCTGTTAATAATGTGACCAGATTTACGGAACAATAGTTAGCAACAATGGAACCTAAAATGTTTACACCTATGCCCTAAAAGTACGAGACGAGAATCTAAGAATCATAGTTGTGTAGAGCACAAGAAATTTTAAAAAAATTATAAATCAAGTTTGGTCGCATTATTTTTCAATCGCTTTTAAAATATAACAAATGTTACTCTTATGCACATCATTTTGTGCGGTACTTTTTGAACACATTTGAGTAAAATTTTCCATCTATTCAACCTTGCTGCGACAATTTTTTTTTTATATATATTAAATGACAAGCTTTTTATTAAGATTAATCCGATGTCATTGAACTTTTTCTTGTTTAGCAATTGAGTGCGATGACCGGGATTAAAGATCCTACCGAGCCACCGAAAGTGGAAGAAATAAAAGAAGAGAACAAGCATGCCATTTTAAAACTGAATCTTACAGACTTAAAAATCCAATCCATGCAAACTTTCCTCGAGTTCTCCAAGGAAATGATGCAATCTTTCAAGTGACCGATTGTACAATCGAAGTATAATCATAGATCGAAACTGTTTTAGTTTTCGTTGTGCGTATCTTAGCGAATATTTTAAACTGACGCCTTTTCTATTTGTTTCTCAGGTTGTTTTTAGACGAATTAAAAGTTCAGTTCGAACAATATCGTAACGATAATCAGACTATAGTTGAGTTATTGACATTGTCTAATCTGCACAAATGGACTCAACGTGAACAATAAATTAAAAAACGGGGAAGTATCGATGTTTTTTGAAAGATTGATGTTTTAATATATATTATGATTGAAAGCTGTGTAATCTGATTAAGAAATTGAAACAGTTCATATTGAAAGTACTATAGATGTTCAAATTTATAAAATTGTTTTAATAAAAAAAGAAATTGTAATGATAAAACAGTCGACTGTAAGTTGTTCTTAAAAATACCCTAAAAATAAGGATTGAATAACGCGGTAATTTGTGAACGTTTGTATCTCGAATGTGAATGTTTGAATCGATATGAGAAGGGACGCACTTGCTCTCTTAACGATATATCGATATGACAAATGCGGACGCCATATTGCTTACGCGACCGTTACCGCCAATATACTGCGTTGCAACGATTCGTTGCTTGCTTTGTAACCGCCAAAATAGTTAAACTTTCTTTTCGGAGTTGTAGTCGTTTTTTTTCTTGTATGTTTCGAATATTTTTTATCAGTCCTATATAATTTACGTTTTCGTACATATTCTGGTATCTGTGTGTTACTATGTCAAGACAATACTGTTTTCTCTGTGCGAGCGACGAAGGCGTTTTCTTGGATATTACGGATGACAACAAGAAATTATTTCACGAGCAATTCACAATCTGCTCACTCGATACGGTATGTAACTCGCGAATTACTTCACAGCAATACATTCAAATCTTGTTAAATTCGTTAGTTTTTGTCTGAGCGTGCGTCGATAACCATACACATTGAGTAACAATAATACTCGGCGAACAGAGTTTATTCGATTCTGTACTTGTTAAACAACTGAATCCATTGTTATTTCTGTTCATAAAAATTATTGAATTAATTTGCAAGTATGTGATGATATACATTAAATGGTCTAATGACTGATTGTTGTGTAATAAAAATATTCGGTACTATGCATATCGCGTCATTTATCACAGTATACGTCCAAATTACGTATATACGTAAAATTTTAATACTTTGAGGGATAAATCCTATTTCCTAGTAAACCTTAAAAGTTTAGGCATGTTTGTAATTATCTTTTATACATGTTTGGCTATATATGTTATTGTTGCTTTTCTAAACTTTATTCTCAATTCTAATATCTGTATTTTTGTCGTACGCGATTTGTTATTGTATAATCTGTTTGTGCATAATTTGTTTGATATTGTTATGCTCATTGGTATTTCATTCAATTTTCAGCTAATGTAATTTTTTATTCAGTTTTTTGAATGAATTCTTTTCCAGTTTCTAAGAACCTAATTATATATTATTAGGTTATTCCTGTATATTGTTATTTTTTGCTTCTTGAATGTTAATAACCTCTCATCTACTACTTTTTGTGGTTATTTTAATGTAACATTGGTTAAAATTAAAGTACCGCGTGTTGTTCTGTAACACAGCCAAAATATATGAGTCAAATGAAATCACAAATCAATTTTATGATATTTAACATTAAATGACCTATCAGCTAACATTGTAACAATCTTGCTCTTATCATTATTAGATATAGTATAAAACAGCGAATTCAAACATTCTTCTAATTATATTGTTTAGTCGAAATACATTGCCGATGTTACAGAGTTTTTGTTGTATATTTTGTTATACAGGTACCTAAAGTAGATCAATTGCCAACTAAAATTTGTCACAAATGCGCATATGAGTTAAACCAGTGTAGTTCCTTTGTAAGCAAATACAAACGTTGCATTACATTACAAAAGAGAAAGATTCGCAAGAATTGTTGCGGTTTATGTTTTGAATCTGTAAAGAAGGAACATGTTTTCGATCTCAGTGAAGATACTTTAAAACATAATTTGTTCCACAAAATACAAAGACTTTTTAACAATGAAGTAAGAAATATATTTCATATAACTGTTTAGTAGTTTACTTATCATTTTGTTCTGTCTTGTTAAAATTTATTTTGTATCTTAATTAATAGTTCGAAAAATTTGAGGAAGCTTGTGAACTTGTATGTTTGTCTTGCCGGTACACAGTGGATGTGTTATTCGATTTGAAGAACCTATCTCAAGAAATTGCATACAATCTGAGAGATATAATCAACAAAGAAATAGATTATTCAAATTTCCCCAAGGTAAATGCTTCTTGCATATTTTATTCGATATATGTTGACCTTGTATTATTGTTGTTGTTTATATTGTTATAGATTAATACAGCTGTAATAAGTCGCAAAACTACTATCACTGATTCTGCTAGAACAGCTCTATACACGTTGCAGGATTCTGATACAGAATTTAGCAAAATGACGCGTACAAGATCTCAGAAGAACAAACTGAATGATACCAACTCAAGTGACAAACCAAAACTAAAAATCTGTGAAAAATGTCAGAGCACCTTTAAAACTACTAACAATACGTCCAAATCTAAAAAATCAGCAGGTCTTGTCTGCAAAAGTTGTTTGGCAGAAACAGGTTCCGATACAAATGACATTAATAAGCAGCAGAGTGTTACAGAAACCAAATTTTGTAAAGTTTTTCTAAAAGATGTATTAAAAGATGAAACAGTAAGTAATCAAAATCTTTACAAAGTCAAAGAAGATGGCGAGGGGAAGAAGAAATACATTGTAACGGACAAGGTATTGCCAGAGGAAAATAGTAAAACACAAGGTGAGAAATCTCCTAAAATAGTTAATGACATAGAAAGTAACGCAGCAAAGCAGGGTCAAAAACGTACTCTTAGAAGTATGAGAACCGAAAATACAGATAATAAAGAGATTGCAAATAAGAGATTAAGATCTAACGTAAAACAAAAAAATACAGATTCTAAGTCGACATCTTTGACCGAGACTTTTGTAAAAAGACCGAACTTGCGCGGACAAAAAATTGATAAACGTAATACTAATCAACGTCCTGATTCGGACTCCACATTAACAAACAATGTAAACGAATATAAGCGTAAACTAACTAAACATAAACGAGCAACTGATGCATCTTTGTCTGATGCGGATGTTGACAATAATCCCGATCGTAAAAAGTTAAAGAGTATCTTGGCAGGTAACATTGTGATAAAAAATTTAAATCCGCCATCGTCTGTGTACGATAGATTAAGGAAGAAGAGTATAAGATTTGTAAACCCGGCACCAATTATGATCGATCTGACTAACCGAGATGTTACGGAAGAAAGTTCTCGAAGAAAGGAGTTGGCGTTAAAATCGAAACCGTCTTCGATTAAAAAAACGTCCGAAAAATCGGATGACTCTGAGTCTGATAACAAAGAAACCGAAGACGATAAGAGTGAGACATATACTTGCGAAGAATGTGGAGCTAATCACGAGACGAAACTTACGTGGTTGTCGCACAAATTGACACATTATAAACAACCGAAATTGGAATTGGAAAAAGTGAATGTCGATGATACGACAAAAGATACCGTGAGCACGAAAGAAGCGGTGGAAGATCTGTGCGAAGATCAGTCCGAGACTATAGCAATTAGAGTAGATGATGACGAGGAAGAAGCAGTAACGGATGCAACTAATCTAGACACGAGTGTTACAACGGAGAAAATTCAGTCCTCTATGAAGGAATCAAATGAAATCGTTGATGTGGAATCTGTATCGGATGATCACGACTCCGATCACGGTCAACAAACGGAGAATAAAGTCGAGAAATCGCAAAGCCAAGAAGATGCTGAGACAACTGTAACCAAATCAACGCCAGAAAAAGTAAAACGTAGTTCAAGGAAGAGCGGAAGCAGGAAACGTTTGTATTCGCCGAGAAGTAGAAGAAGGAGCCGCAAAATTACTAATCAGAATATCGATAAAAAGGAGGATAAGTCTGAGACAGAAAACAATTCAAGTACAGAAGAAGATATGACTACGTTGCCCGTAGAGGATGAAAATGTTAGGACAAAAGAAAATGAAGACATTTCGCTTACACCGATCAAAAATGGGCAGGCAAAGGAAAATGAGGATAATTTGCTCGTGCAGAATGAGAAAAATTTGGACAACGAACAAAATAAAGACGAGGAGGAAAACGTTGAGAGGACGACAGAGGAAAGACCTGCAGTATTGGAATCGGAACAAAAAGAAACGCAAAAGGATGACGATGTTGATGGCGAAAAAGAAACTGCAGAAACCCAGGATGAAAGTGAGATCGTTGATAAAGAAACAAATGATAAAGAGAGTGATACAGACGAACAAGAAGATGTGGCAAAGGATAAAGAAAGCGAGACAAATGATAAAGAAAGCGAGGCGATCGATAATGAAAGTGAGACGATCGATAAAGAAAGTGAGACGATCGATAAAGAAAGTGAGACGATCGATAAAGAAAGTGAGACGAACGATAAAGAAAGTGAGACGATCGATAAAGAAAGCGAGACGAACGATAGAGAAAGTGAGATAAACGATAAAGAAAGCGAGACAAACGATAAAGAAAGCGAGACAAACGATAAAGAAAGCGAGACAAACGATAAAGAAAGCGAGACAAACGATAAAGAAAGCGAGACAAACGATAAAGAAAGCGAGACAAACGATAAAGAAAGCGAGACAAACGATAAAGAAAGCGAGACAAACGATAAAGAAAGCGAGACAAACGATAAAGAAAGTGAGACAAATGATAAAGAGAGTGAGACAAATGATAAAGAGAGTGAGACAAATGATAAGGAAAGTGAAACAATTGAGGAAGAAAGCGAGGCAATTGTTGAAGAAAGCGAGGCAATTGTTAAAGAAAGCGAGGCAACTGATAAGGAAAGTTCGAACGGAGTGAAATCCAGCAAAGATTGCAGCGATGAATCTCCAGCTAAAGATGTCGCAGGTTCTTCTAAAACAGTCAAACGAAAGTGTATAGAAGTGGAAGATTCGAGCGACGAAGACATAAGGATCGTTAATGTAAACAGTTCGAAGAAGACGGCGAAGGAAAAGTCGAGCGATCGCACGGAAAACGTAGACTCCAGCTCCGAAGATGAGATTGAATGCACACAGGTAGAAAATGACAAGCCTCTGGTGACGAAAGAGGTGATTGTATTATCCGAGACGAACAGTTCGACTTGCAACGATGACGTCGAGGAAGTCGAAATTAGGGAACAGAAAAAGTCGGCAAAAGATTCCGCCGATGCGGCGGCAGAGGTGTTGCAAGAAGTTCTCGATTTGGCGAGCGCGGAGGTTGAAAAACGCAATGAAACTGTCGACGATAATACCGAAAACGATTCGGCCGACATGGAAACTTTAGAAAACATATCGCGCGAAATACGTAACAGCGAGAACGCGTCGCCTCTGAAATTGAACAGTAGTCAGACTACTGTTACTTCTTCATAAGTTGCGTGTAGGCGTTTATATCGTACGAACATTATATTTTACCTGCTTTTATTACTCAAACTGCTCACTGCATCACAAATTCCACTCTACCGTAAAATCATTTTATAATTAAAATTTGTAGATTGTTTGATCGGCGACTCGAATTTTGACAAAATGTGTGATTTACTGTTCGTTTTTTGACATAGTATACAGGAATGTGGGGACCCATTTCGGAGATAGATTCTACGCAAGAAAACAATAACAAACAGGACACATGTTTACGTGAACTTTTGTTATTTGTTTTTTTGCGTAGAATCCATCTCTGAAATCACCCTGCGTATTTAAAAAGTTGACGCTTGACGAGCGAAGAAATTACGAAGTATTTCAAAGGCCATGAATAGACTTAGACTTGCTCCTGTGGAAACTCAAGTGTCAACTTTCCACATCTATACGGTAGTTTTTGCACAGGTTTGTTTTGTGAGGAAGAAATCGATTGATACACGAAAAGGATATGCTTAAAGGTATGACATATACATGACTCATTTAAAGTAAATCATTAATTTGTATAGAGTAATTTTATTGAATTACAGTATCGTTCTTAATAGCGCAACAAAAATACTTGTTGAAGAATTAATTTTATAAGGGCTAACAGAAGGATGATTGATTGTTGTGGTTAATCATTTTTGTAAATTTACGAATTTAATGAATGTTTATTGTCCCGGAATGCTCATTTATTTTACTTTGCGTTTACTTTATTAAATCCCGTCCTCTTGCTTGCAGCCTAGCAAGGACGTGTGAGGTATTAATGAAATTTCTCTCGCAATTAGTATTTTCAAATTTTAACGATTAATTCTTTAAAGTATTATTTTTAAAAACGTTCTTTATTAGTATGCAATGCGTGAAACTCGCGACAAGAAGTTTCTGATATAATAGTACAAAGTCAAGGCGATGATTTGGGTGATTGAACTTTGTTTCAACTAACATAATCGATTTAATGAATTTCATTCGAATGAAAGTTTCGCGCGCATATTAATCAGTATGTTTAAGGCTTTTATAGTTGCTTCTGTACGATGTAATCTCGAAGAACTGTCTGAAGGCTTTATTGTTGGTCAGCGATTTCGCTATTCTCATTAAACGTTCGCCACATTTCATTTCATTTCTTATCTATCGCAGAGTCACAATGTATATGCTGAATGAATGATTGGTCTTAGATTATCTTGCACCAGTGTTCAAGGGACCGCAATCGAGCCCATTAATTATAGTTAATGTGTTACGTCACATTGTTTTTTCCAAATACACATTGATGTTCATGAAGTTTCACGTTCACGTTTTGCACAATAGTTCCGATAAATGTTCCTGGGATCCGAACTGAACGAAATATGCCATTCAAAAACGGCAAACAATTTACATTATTTTCAAGCCACCGCCCGTAATGGAACGTGGCTAAACTATCGAACTCGGTGAAGTCTCAATTAAGTAACTAGTTCCTTTTTTTTCCCCCTATTTCTTTTTAACGAAACAATATTAGCGGAGAGCAAAAGTCGTCTTTATTAATTTCTTTGCTTTTGTAAGTAGCAGTGGTTGTTTAGTATCAATGATTTTTATCGACTAATCGTTGCTTTTTATCGAACGATAAATCGAGACACTTAGAACTCCTTGTGTTTAGCAATTCCCGGTATTTTTTATTTTGTTTACTCGCTAGTGGTACGAATTCATGCGACATTGTAAGCTACGAAACGTTTTCATTCGATACACGACTTAAAAAGAAAATCACCACCCTCGGCGTTTCTCGACGGACTTAATATTCTTATATTTATATGCGACGTTACTCGAATATAAATTGTACGGAGAAAAAAAAGAAAACAAAACGAAGGAAATACTTGTATAGATAAATGTTGAATCGTGCGGAGTTCTCTTTAATCTCGCGATGCAATCAATTGTTGATAGGGGAGGATTGCGACGAAGAGACCGTGTCCTCCGATGTTTCGTACAAAGCCTCTGTGTCCGACTTCTCGTCTGGAACGTTAACAGAATCGAAGATGTTTATTCGTATCGATGCTTACGGTAATCGGGAACGCATTATTGTTTTTAAACGCATGGCGGCTCGTTTACTCGCGGAGCGCGAGTGTTTTGATAAAAGTCGAGACGTTTGAACGAAGGAAAAATTGTGGCCATTATAACGCGTCAGTCAGGTTCGTCGATGTATATTGAATACAGTGTATATTAAATCCGAGATTAAGTACGATAAATAAATTTAGTAAGAATGTAAACCTTGATGAACAAATATACACCTAATAATATAGAGATATTTGTATGGAATAAGAGTGTGAGGTATAATCTGCGGGAAGGAAGAACGAATCACGTTTCTATTATCAGACTGTTCTGTACGATTGACTATTTTTTTTGTTTACCGTGTATCTCGTCAGTCCAAAATGGCTCTCTGCGGCATTTCCACAGGCAGACCTTGAGCGTCGCGTGTTCGTCGCGCTCGCCGCATCGCGAAAGCAACTCGAAATAGTCTTCGATTCTTTCTTGACCTGCGAACAGTCTGCGTTGTGGTATCTTAAAGCCGTCGCGGAGAGATTCTGTAACTTTTTATCGCGATCGATCGGCCGCACGTGAAACGGACATAGGGAAACGATTTGTATATCTGTATTTGTACTTTTATGGTAGAGATTTATTCGATCTCGAAAGATACAATCGATCGCGTAATACCGAATATTCATAGAAATGTTAGACTATGTATTATAATAGAAAATAAAGAGTAAACGTATTTCTAAACTCTTCAGTTTTATTGGACAATGTACTTGCAGCGTCGCGAGCATATAAAAAGCTTTTGGTACATCGATGTTAATTCTATTAACATGCTCGACAGCGCGAGTACATTGTCGTAAAGCGTTCACGTGTTTTCTAAAATGGGAAAAATTTTGTCAATTGTATCGAAGTAATTTTCTTTTTAACGAGGCGTCTCCATCGAATGTTTGAGCATCATTGTTCGTTTTAAAAAAAATAGACTGCATTATTTTATAGACTTGTAATACCTGTAGATACTCCCGCGATACTTCTGGCGCGATCAGCCTCGCGGGACAAGCCGAGCTTATTGTATAAACGCAGAGCGTTTTCCAAATGTCCGGTAGAAAGGTTCAAACTTCCCTGTAGAAGTAACAGCGTGGCAATGTATCGTTTCGATTTACGTTCATTTGTATAAAACTAGCGCAGTATCGTTTTTATTAGTTAAGGACGCATGACGCGAACAGCCATTATAATTTTTATTGTTTTCTTTTTTGTACTTTTATTCTAGTAATTTAGTCGTTTACTTTAGTTTTTGTATCGTCGTTAGACAGTATTGTAAATTAGCTAGAACAACAAACAGTCGTGTCTGTTCATTTCCAATACCTGACTCAAATAATGTTCACCGGTGTAGTAATGCGCGTCGGCGAGCTTCTCGAAGAGCCCGAATTGTTCAGCGTTCTCGCGAAACAAACGCAAATGTTTCTCCGTGTAAGCGTTGTCGTCCAATCGCTGCTCGTAAATAACATTCCATAATTTATGATTCGAACTTATTAAGAGACGCGTATCGAAAGAATTAGGCACCTTGTACGCAAATGCTAGTTCCGTGTGCGCGTTGCAAACGCCTTCAGCGTCCGAAATCCGTCTCGCCAGGGCCAACAACTTCGAGAAACAATGTAACGCGTGTTTGATATCGTTCATCGCAACGTAACTTTTCCCGAGCTCGTAAAGGGCCTCGTTCACGTACTCGTCGTTGGCAGCTGCATTTTAAAATTTCGAATCAAGTTAGTATTTGGCTCGTTCCAAGTCGAACTATCGAAAAGAAGCAAAGTGTACAGTCCGTGGCTCTTTCCAAAGCTTCCGTGCAAGCTTTCATGGCCCACTCGGGGTTCTCGGGTCGTTCCTTTCGCGCGAGAATCAACAGTGCCTTGTACTGAAGAACGTTGCATTCCCTGAAAATGGAACCCTGTTTCTCCCCCAGTTTCTTCGACGCGTTCCACGTTTTCTTCTTGGACGCTTCGCGCGCCTCGTTCAGATAAATTAGCGCCTCCTTCGGTTTCTGCACTGTTTATAATATGTATTTGTACATATTTAGATGCTAGAATGCGTTGACGATTAGACGATCACGTTACCAACTTTCGTTAAAGAGGAATCGACCGTATAGGTAACGCGTGAAGGTGATCGTGCGACGATCGTCGTCTTTGATAGTTTCAGCAGTCGCGAGAGCAGATTGGTACAAACGCTCCGCTATCCACCACCATTCCCAAGTGTTCGACTGGAAGAACAGAGCGGTGTTCAACAGTGACGTTGCTTGGGCTACGCGATCGCCTGGAGGAATGTTTATTCGATCTAAAATATGTACGTATACGCCGGTGTCGAGAAATTTCGATGGGAAATATCGTCACCTTCCCCTCCAGCTTCCTCGAACGCGATCAATCCGCTCTTCAAACGATCCACGAGATCCTTTCGATCCTTCAAGTACGGTTTCTTCCTCATCAGGCTAACAGGCGATTGTTCGCCGATCTTTTCGTCCAGTTTCAAAAACTGTTTCATGCGGCGGGCCGCTTCTCGGTAGTTTTCTTCCTCGAGTTCGAGAAGAATCGCCTCGTGATACGGTATGTAAAATCTGTTTGGAGAATATTAGAAACGCCGACCCAGGTAAAACGATAATTGCAAAGGTAATAAGAACCTTCTCACTTGTCTGGGACTTATATCGGGCAACGCGGTCTTTAAGTCGGCCATAGCCTTGTCCTTGCGCCATTTTGTTCGAGGCAAAGTTTTCAATTTCGCAGGGAAATGTGCAACCTGTTTGTTCACCTTGCTCTCCGAACTGCTCGACCACTCTTTATAGACGTCTCGCTTCGAAATTTCCACGACATCGTATTTCTTAACGCGATCGTACTTCGCGGCCATTTTGTTCAAATCAACCTGCTACACCTCGCAAACGAGGTGACAAAATTGCTTTGCAACAGACGCTCGTTTATTTCCACACCGCAGAATATCGATTACGATATAAAGTGCAAATTCAAAGCGCAACGGAATTGAATTAAAACAACAATGGCGGATCGAGGGAAGCGGTTCGGGTTCGTAAATAACGAGTAGCGTTGAAATTCAGATTTCGCAACACAGAGGTTGTATAATTTATTGCACAAGATAAATATCGACGTAATGAAAGTAAATATAACTATCCGCTTTATCGACACAACATTTACAAACAATCGTATGACGCTAAAGAAGGTTATAAACAATCATTTTTTTACAAACATCGTCCGCACACGTATTCCGGTTTAAGCTGTCGCCGCTACCAGTTTCCTGGGCTCGAGCCTCACCTTGAATCCTTCGGCTCTCTTCAGGATGATGTCGGCCTGCAGCCTGAAGTCGGGTTCCTTGATGTCGGATCTCACGCGGAAGTTCCTGAGGATCGTCGAGAGGACGATCTTCAGCTTCAGCATCGCGTATTTACGGCCCACGCAGGATCGTGGCCCGGCAGAGAAGGGCACGAACGCGTAATAATGACGGTTGGCGGTTTTCTCGGGCAGGAAGTTGTCCGGGTCGAAGACGTCCGGGTTCGGGTAGATGTGTGGCTGTCTGTGCATCTTGAACGTACCGATGACAACCGTGCTGCCGGCTGGTACGGTGTAGTCTCCTGACGCTGTGTAATTTTTATCATTTCAGATTGCAGTCGCGAGAGCTTGTAAATATCATTCGATCGGACGATACTAACCCAGTTTCAAGTCTGTCTTGATCTCACGCGCAATGACGGGCACAGGTGGGTACATACGAAGCGTTTCCAAGAGGCAACGCTCCAGGTACTTCATCTGCAGAGTGTCTTGGAAAGTGGCTGGCCTGTCGCTGTCGCCGAAGATCTCGTCGAGCTCCTGGATCACTTTCTCTTGGATCTCCGGGTGGCAACCCATCATCGTAAGGAAGAAACTAGATCCGGATGCGGTTGTGTCGTGTCCCTTTCGAATAAAGTTCCGTTGGTCGTCTCTGTTTTGCTTTGATAGCGCGGCGGGTCGCGAAATCTTACCTCGAACATGATGGTGTCCACTTGTTCCTTGACTTCCTGGTCGTTGAGGACCACACCCTCTTGTCCAGCCTCGATCAGGAGGTCCAGGAAAGCCTGACGTTTCTTCTCGCCGACGTCGTCGTCTACGTCGAGATCGTCCTTGATGCCGACCGATTGGCCGAAGGAAATTCCGTCCACGACGGTGGTAGCCTGCGATCGTAATGTAATTTTTTAACCATATAAATATTGTTTCAGGTCGCTGGGGACTGCTGATCCAAATCGAGCCCCGTGAGCCTACCTTGGAGTCAGCCTTCTGTACGCTGGTGTCAATAATGTTACGTTTGCCGGTCTTGTACTCCTCCTTCTTGCGTTGGATGACCTTCTTGGTCAGTCCGTGGATGATTTCGAGCAGTTTGATCTGGTTCTTGCCGTACTTGGTCAGGTTGAACAGCCAGTCGGGCCTGAGCCATACTTTGGTGTGACGGAGGTGGAGGATGTCGCACATCCTGCAAGAAATTCATTATATTTCTATTATGTATATTATTTAAAAAAGTAAGTGACTCGATATTCAACATCCTAGATCTCACTTTTCGATTTGAAATTGAAATTTTATACTATTTGTTTATATTTTTAAACGAAAGAAAGTTGCTTAAAACGTTTGCGTTTTATGGAAATATCTCTGTTATCTAGTTCTTATGCAACGTTAACTACAGTACACGCGTCGCGAAACATCGACGGACTTTCTCCGGAGGAAGAAAGCGCCAGCAAGAAACATGATCGCGTACTTCATCACAGCCATGGCGTATTCGAATCCGCTACGATCCTGGGTGGACTTGGATACTCCCATGGCGGTCTCCAGAAGGATCTCGACGGTAAGTTCGGACATGTAGTTATGGCAATCGAATTCCTTGTTGCCCTCCTGGCGCATCTTCTCGACGACGGCGCGGGAGTTTGCGTTGAACAGGTCGATGAAGCTCTTCAGCACGTTCAAGTGGAAGGTCGGGGCGATCAGTTTGCGGTGAGCACGCCATTTTGGACCTGCAATTCAGCACAGTTTACAGCCCCACAGGCTCGAACAATACCACTGGAATTAAATGATCTTTGATCTAGTTTTCCTAAATTATTTAAACTCGAGGCACAGAGATGAAGTCGAAGACGGGTTTCAAGCAACGAAACGCTGTTTGCCCTAATTCGGTAGCGGGAAAATGCTTCAGGAAGTTGGGGAGGACAGGTCGGGCACGCCAAAGGAGAAAGTTTGGAAAAACTCTCGGTTGTAACGAACGGTAGATCACGCATCGATTAGATGAAAGAGGAGAAAACGCACTTCCTGCGAGGGAAAACGTGTCCAGAAAGAAATGGGCGAAGGATCGTCGATTGAGTAACGATTGTCACCGGATTATGCCGCAAAAAGACGAAAACAAAGATGAAAGCATTCTCAACGGGTTTTCTTCCTGCTTCGAACTCGATTGACGTAATTACTACGCGTCCAGTTTCGATTACATGACTATGAAACCTCGATATAGAACAGTTGAGTCTTCTTTGCTCGTTGCTCGCGTAGCAAATACACTTGTAGACCCTGCAGTTACTCAAACTTAATACGTAATCCTCAAAACTCACGTCCAGGCGTGTTGAAGCGAGTTTGAGGAGACTTCGTGGCAAAGTTATGGCCTCTGTTTAACTCACATTTTTTTTAAACGATCGTCCAAGGTAGTCATAGTGTTGTAAAAAGTTAAGAGGCTTCTCCCTGTGTTACGCTCAACGATACCAAGCGATTATCGGTTTAACGGCGTGCATTTTCCGCGTGAAACTTTCGCCAGTACCTTTCATCTCGAACCGTATTCAAAGAAACCAACGTACTCCTTGTTTAGAAACTATTAAGACTCTCGATACAATGACTCGCGACGGTTTCATTCGTGGAATTTCAGCATGAATATTTTCAGGGCGAAAGAACTGGAATTTTTGTACGTTTTGGGGCCAAAGATGCGTTTTAAGGGTGCAAATAGAGTTTGCGCCAATGCGATCGAGGTTAAACGCGAGACCGTTACGTGCACCGGCGTTTAGATCTGTTACGTGGTCGTACGAGCGATCGAGAGAGTTTCGTCTGCGAAAAAAAAAGCTATCTAGACGCTAGAAAGTTACGATAACAGCGTGTAAGAATCTGCACGCGCGCAATTATTGAATTAATATCGACCTTAGAATCGCAAACGACGCTGCTAACGATTTATCGGAGCTTCCCGATTCGATCGATGTTCGAAACGCTTGAAATGCTTGCTGATTTTCTAGCAGCGTAAAACTTTTTATTTTTTCATTCTTTAAGTCGATGTTTACGAGGCAATTTCACCTGTCGCGAAGTAAAAGCAAGAATTCTGTAATCACTATTATACGCGTAACTTTTAATCAGCATGAAACACGCGAACAGAAGCTATTGGTATAGTAAACAAATAGGGACAAATCTTGGTTTTCGAGAAGCTTCGATATGGCAGATTATAGTCATTTTAGCGTGTGTTCTCCGATTGGACGTTCAGCAACGAATATAGTAATATTAAGCGTTACGTTCAGACCACGTGATTGTGGTCAGGCTGAGGTTAGACCATTTTGTTAAACTGCTTGATGGCAATTAACTTAACCGAGCAAAAGCAAAGGAAGAAATCCTTCTGCAATGTTTGAGATTGATACGTTTGAGAAGACCCACGTTGCAAACCAGTTGTAATTCAAGTGGAATGATCTAGTTATTGGCTACGAAATTAAATAGAAGCTTCTCCGTTAGAAAATGGAAAAAATACTCACCAGTGGAGATGAGGAGACCGTTTCCAAGCCATGGCTTGAAGAACCTGTACTCGTCAGATTTGTCGATGTACACGTGGCTAGAGAGAATGATTTCGGCGTCCCGTGGGTCCACCAAGAAGATGATCAGTTTGGGGCCGATCCATAGCTTGATCACTTCGTTGTATTCGAATGATCTCTGGTAAACGTTTTGGAAGATGGCTGCAGAGTGGAAAAAGATAGATCAACGTCCCTCGTTTAACGAGCTTCACGATTCAGCGACGTATGAAGTCCACTTACTGTCGGAACTGCCAAGGAATTCAAGGGCGTTTCCAATGATGGGCAAACCTGCAGGACCTGGCAGCTTTTCGGCCAATTCGAGCATGTGACGCCTAGAGATTCTGAAGTAGACATAGTAGAGTGCCAATGCAGGAATAAGAAGAGACAGGAAGACTGCAGTTGCCGAGAATCCGGAGGCCGATGATGCTGCGGCGACCGTTCCAGACATTATTTCTGGCCCAGTTGTGGACATTTTGCGTTAAGTATCTGAAAACAGAAAGCAGATTAATAGAATCGTACACGTCGCCGCTACCTTTCGATACTATTTTAATGTGGAAAGAAACGAGAGCATCGTGACCGAGAAGAGCTTTTTCGAGGACAAACGCACTCCAAGATCCTTCGATTCCCCGATCAACATTTTTTTTAATATACTTAGCTACGTGTTAATTTTCTTTACATTCTTAAAGCTCGTTATTTGCCTACTAAAGGTTTACATATGATAGACGATACGAAATCCCAAATCCACTTTCAAAATGCTGGCTACAAGAAGAAGAGAAAAATCAAGCGTCGTGGGAGTCGAGATAATATTAAATAACTTATCGTTTGCTAGACAAGAAAGCAAAGCTTGGAGGATCTATCTACTAATAGGAGGATCAATTGGTAAATAAAATAAGTGTCTTCGAAGCAAGGAGTGCTCGCAGAGCTCGATCCATCGTTGGAACACAGGCGTGATCGAGTTTACTAGAACGGTAGAAAAAATGAAGAAGACTTTTGCTCGAAGAAAATGATTATTCTACTCGTAAATAAGATTGTCACACGGAGTTAGGTCACTTCGAAGATGTTCACAGCACTCTGAAGAATGTTCCCGAGCAACACGCTGCTGGATCTCCACGATCACGATTAAGAGGTTTATAAAATCGTTCACCCACCTATCGATCGCACCACTCACGCGAAGAGTTCTTGCCGATGAACCACCACCGGACTGCTTGGACGACTTTGCGCGATCTCTTTTATAACCGGAGCCTTTCTACCACCACCCCTGCGTGACACAGAGCGTCGCGACGCTAATTAATGGCCGCGCCATGCTTCTATTGGAATTGATAATTAGTTTTACTCGTGCCCCCTCGATTCCAGTTCTTCGTACGTTACCCGTGTTACGGAGCCACGGAAAATATTACGAATCGGCGACTTCCATCGCTTGGATAATTATTTCTGCGAACAGTTCCTTCGGTTTATTTTTCTATTATCCGACCCAGTCGAAACTGTTGGCTACCAGAAAATGTTTCAAGCAAAATTTCACTCGTTTTAAGGGGGAAATCATTCGATGTAACTAAGTTTGTCTTACGTGGCCCTGTGGAGGTCATACGAAGGTCAACCTTCTTTCATCGATGGAATCCTGAATTTTCAAACACGTTAATTGGTATACCTTCCCATTCCCTGTAAAAAAGTACTGAGCCATTTATAGCGTAAACCCATTAGTTTGGGAGATATTTTACGTGACCCTGTGGAGGTCATACGAAGGTCAACCTTCTTTCATCGATGGAATCCTGAATTTTCAAACACGCTAATTGGTATACCTTCCCATTCCCTGTAAAAAAGTACTGAGCCATTTATAGCGTAAACACATTAGTTTGGGAGATATTTTACGTGGCCCTGCGGAGGTCATACGAAGGTCAATCTTCTTTCATCGATGGAATCCTGAATTTTCAAACACGCTAATTGGTATACCTTCCCATTCCCTGTAAAAAAGTACTGTGCCATTTATAGCGTAAACCCATTAGTTTGGGAGATATTTTAATTTTAATACCATAGATTCAAAAATTCATTTGAGGACTTATCAAAGAATCCTTCGATTGCTGTAACTTCGTTGAAGAAAAATCGCACAGAGATAAAACTACGGTCATTTTAAAGTTCGAAGTCTCTACTTTTTTTCTGCTTCAAGTCAATTTTTTCTATGACAAGTTTGTGATTAGGCAACAGGCATGAAAATGCTTCTTTCGCAGTGAGATTAAAGGGGGAAGTTTTGCGTTTACAAGGACCCCCCCAAAAGTTGATGTAGAATTTTTTGCTCCGAAGTTGTTGCACTCTGAACGAAAAGTGTGACGCAGTTGATTAGAATTTCCAGAGGTGCACCATGTGGAGCTTGTGTGTGTTTAGAATGTGACTTGGTTTTGTTTACTTCAGCTCGAAACGCAGTATCGCGTCTGCATTTTAGATCGATGCATAAACGATTGCGATGTCAAAGGGTAAAAACGCAACGAGAGGACAATAGATAATTTTAAATTGACGTAAATATAACAAGCCACACTATAAACACACTATAAACACACTTGGAACGCAAACACACGAGGCACAAGTCCGATCGTAAAACCTCCATTCGGATGATTCTAATCCCGACGGCACACTTTTCACTCAAAGTGCAATAACTCGGGAGAAAAAAATCATAGGTCAATTTTTAAGGGGTTGTTCTAAAGGGGAGGCTTCCCCCTTCGATCTCATCGCAAAACGAGCCCGGGAAAAAAATTTATTATACTCCGTAGGCTAGTATAAAGTTAGAGGATTTTAATAAAAACATCTTTTACTCTTCTACGCCGTAACCAAGCAAGAGGGTGTCTTTGAAAAAAAAATTTAATTCAGGACGGGGAAAGTAGAGGCTTTGCCCTTTAAAATGAGCGCAGCTTCGTCTTCGTACGATTTTTTTTAACGTAGTTACAGCAGTTCGAATATTGCCAATTCTTTTACCTAGAATTTACGATCCTGAAATTTGAAGAGGTAGACGAATTATTTATCGTATAAAAATATTAAATAAATCGTTGGATGGGATTCTGAGAGTGATATAGACATACTCGAGAACTGGTAAAAATATTGTTCATTGATGCATAGGAAGAAAGTGGCTCGAGAAAGTCCTGTTTTGTCAGAGCATCTTTGCAGATGGAGATCGCGACGCATTATATAATAATATGACAATCGGGATCAACATTTTGTGCATAGTTTTTTTTAAAGATAACGTTATTCGTGCAGAAATTTTTTAAAAATTTATTCTCCGAGTAAGAGTACAATGTCTTGAATACAGAATGTCATTGAGGCCCGGTAAATAATCGTTTATAGTGTTTGAAACGCAATTTCGTAATCCCGGGCTTTTGCTTTATTTCGGCACGCGGGGCCGGGCATTAAAATTTCTTACGCTCGGTATATTTTGCTGACGCATATAATTAATAATGCTTCCCGTAACGCGTTGAATAACAAAAAGAAAAAAAAAAATACAATATTCACAGGCGAAAAACGAAAAAAATAAAAATTGCGCCGAGTCATCGAAAACGTAGGAGTATTTTCGCCTTGACCCTCTCGCCTATCACTTGTCGTGTGTTTTATCATTTACAAACAATGCTTTTTGCTCGCATTTACGTACGATCCTGAGCAAAGATCGTTGATACGTGGCATAATATTTAACAGAATCGTCGCGACCTTTTTTAAGGATCCCACCGTGCCACGATCGAACCATTTCGATTGTAGAACTTTGCATCGTACGATACTCCGCACAAGTGTAAACCTTTTTGCTATAACCACATTAAAACGGAACGCATATCGTAATTCATTTCACTTTCTAGAAAGCTATTATAGGTCCTCCTTTCGTTCGGTCTTCCTATTTTCGCGCAGGATATTCTACAGGTTGTCCACGGTAAAGTGCGACAGTCGCGACAATTCAATAACTATTGATCGTACGAACAAAATTGTTTACATGTAAATTGCAGGATAAAATAGGATCTCCATTTTGGCGCGAACGAAAATTTTGTTTATGTTATTAATTTAAAAGATACGATGGTGAAGTTTCGTTTTTTAAATGGAACTATATATATTTTTCTTTTGGATCGTGCGATAGTGCTTTTCAAGACAAATTCAATAAGCTGTAATTTATTAAGTGTGTCGCGATATTTCAATAACTATTGATCCCACGAAAAAAATTGTTTATACAGGGTGTTCGACCGACCCTGGGAAAAATTTGAATGGGGGATTCTAGAGGCCAAAATAAAATGAAAATGAAGAATAGCAATTTGTTGATGGAGGCTTCGTTAAAAAGTTATTAACAATTAAATTCAATAATTCCAAATCGTTCTGGAAACATTATCTTCAGTTGCGGGGGTCAATTGCAATCATTTTTTATAATTACAATTACCCCCAAAATCCTACGTACTTTCGAGAAAAAAATTGAAGAAGGTGTGAAATTTTTCGGCGAAATTGAAAAGATTCGAATCGTTCTAAAAAAATTATTATCGGTTGCGAGGATCAATTACGATCATTATTGGTCATTGCAATTACCTCCGAAATCCAACGCACTTTTGAGAAAAAAATTCGAGAAGGTGTGAAATTTTTCGGCGAAATTGAAAAGATTCGAATCGTTCTGAAAAAATTATTTTCAGTTGCAGGGGTCAATTACAATCATTTTTGGTGAATAGACATAACCTCGAAATCTTACCCATTTTCTAGAAAAAAATTCGAGATGGTGCGACATTTTTCGACGGAAAAAAAAATTTCAAATCGTTCTGGAAAAATTATTTTCGTTTGCAGAGGCTAATTACAATCATTTTTGGTCATCAGACATAACCTCGAAATCTTACCCATTTTCTAGAAAAAAATTCGGGAAGGTGTGAAGTTTTTCGACGGAAAAAAAAAATTTCAAATCGTTCTGGAAAAATTATTTTCGTTTGCAGAGGCTAATTACAATCATTTTTGGTCGTAAGACATAACCTCGAAATCCTGCGTAATATCGAGAAAAAAATTCAGTACAGGCGGAACTTTAAACGTTAATAACTTTTTAACAAAGCCTTTGTTCCAAAGTTGCGAATTGCACGGAACGTTGGATTGCGACCTATGAGACAATATTTTACGTCGATTTCCGGAAGTGATGCAGCTCGCGTAAGTATATCCTTAGATAAGGCGATCCATATTTTCGTAGGCGACGATACGTGGGAACGAAGAATTTACGTGCACTTACGCTTACAATCGCCGGATATCCAGGTCGATGCTCAATGACCCGACGTTCTGACTTAACGATACAAGTAAACATGTACGCTCGAGGCGCAATTGCCAGCCATAATTTACAGGTGCGTTTAATAGAAATTGCTGCCAGTTAATATCGATCGGCCATCGTCGTGTAATTATGAAAGATTAATTACGAACTTGGATCAGTTAGCGTCCATTATACAACGAAATAAACATCGTCGATAACATTAAACGAAAATAAGTATCTAAGCAGCTTCCAACAGCGATTTCCTATCTAGTTACACTTGCGATGAGTTTACCTTAGGCTGCAAGAGAAATGCAAGAGTAGATTTTATGCTATTCTTTAGCAAATTCTTGGAAAACCAGGCGTGACGAGTTCTGCAAATAAAAATAAACAGTCGAATGGTAGAACGAAGTATTCCATGACGAACGACTAAAAGTCGTTCGATCGAATCAGCGTCATGAATAAATTGCCACGCGTTGCCCTTTCCTTGTTATTTGCTTGCTATATCGATGAACGTATTTCGTTATAAAAGAAATGGTTCATCTATGGGCAATAATATAGTGATGAAAGCAATTAGATATGCCTCCAGCATAAATCGTTAACTTACACTTTCGTGGAATTGAAATTTATCGTAAAAAAGTGTGGCGTTTTGGATTTTCAAAATACCAGGGGCAAATAAGATTCGGTCGAGAAATTCATTTCAATCAATGGTTTCGAAACTGAACAGGACTTTTACAATTATATGAGGAACCCTGTATGATTTTAACTCTGGCCAGTGGCTCAGCTAGATTATAGTGTTTTGGTCTTTGTTTTGTTGGTTCAAATAATTAGATAACGAGGCAATATATTGCATTGTATTTATTGAACAAATAGTACGTTTCTTTGGGCAAGTACATAGTTTCACATCGCGTCAAGCATAATACACATTAATTGGAGACTATATGTACGTCGATCTAATTAATAAACAGTGTCTAAAGCTTATTATTATTAATTATAACTATAATATAGTCCACATAAGTACTCTACTTATTTCACTGTATATCTATATATATCAAGACGACATCTACCATG